TCATGTCATAACCTGTTTCTATTTATCAACTAAGTCTGTGATGCGTTTTGGGAAGTTGCAGGGGTTAGCTTCTTTGTGGATTTGGCAGCGGTCGTTTCTCACGGAAGGATCCCTGCCTCCCCTGCGCCTGATGCTCAACGATTGTGCCCAAGAACTCCCCGATTTCAACCCGGAAAGTCTAGCAGAAAGTCTGTTGAAGCCTTGGTATGTTTCTTACAAATTTTCCCTTTCCTTTATTCAATTTGGCATCATTCTCTCTGAGTAATTTTTTAACACCAAGATTCAAATTAATTCACATTTGTTTTATTCATTTTTTGATGTTCTTAGGTGACAAGCACATGGTAAGAAATTGCTCTAATGGACTCTAAAAGTGGCAAGCATCCTTCTCTATCTCTGTCTGTCTTGCATCTCCACCAGTTTTGAAACTTCCGTAATTTCCCGTCTAATTTTGTCTAGAGCTTAAAGAGAAGCTGCGTATAGGTTTGGGAAATGGAAAGGCTTAACAAAGTTATTACTTTTTGATGAGAAAGATGCCTGTAAGGTGTTCGATGGAATGCCTTAGCCATTTAAGGTATTCATTTGAGCTTACTTTATCTTTACCTGATTCATTGTTGAATATATTTGTTTGGTCATCTATTATTTTCAGGTATGCTTAAAGGAATTACATTTGAAATTTTGAGATGCACAACGCTATGCATTGGTTGGTATTTTCTAAGAATTTGAGCTACACAATTCATTTTATGTATTTTACCTGGTTTGTAATACTCCTTGCTAAAAAATCAGTTAAAGTACCATTGTCCACATGTACTTTTGTAGCTTTGGTAAGTCTAAAATGTTGTGAATTGTTTTCCAGATTGTAAGGGTAAAATGGTAATTTTTTTCTCATTCAGCCAGTAATTTTTTTTGTAATATGCATTGTTGGGCTAAATGCACGAAATGACATCTAACTTTTATAAATATTAATGTCATTTATAATCGTACTTTACATTATACATGCATTATAATATCTTACTTTTATTTCACTTGAAATTACAATAGTATAATTACATTTCGTAAAGTATAATGTTTTATAATAAAAAATTTAAAATATCATCCTATAATATAAAAGTATCTGCTGCAGTTATTTGGTGTAGTAATATGACAAATTAAGCTGTTGGATTGATTGTAGATTGTTAGGCGTGTCAAACCCAACAAATAATAGGGGTACAACAGACTCCAAATACACTGCTTTAATGCACTAAAAAGTAGTACAAGGCAAGCAGAGTCGAACCACAGAGACACGGGATAAAAGTCTATACCTCTTTGCGCAAGGTACTTTGGTCACAAAGGGGGGTTTGTTTGCAAAAGTAAATAACTAAATAACAATCTACTTTAAAAGCATGCACAAAATGAAATAGATTTGTAAACAAATTGTAAAAGTGCTTCTGGTTCTAGTTCTCAATGTTGTTGTTCAACTTGATTATGACATGATGTAATTCATGATTGCTATTCTAAGTTGGTACTGAAAGATATTAACACGCTCTAATACCTCTCGCTTGCCAAATTATCTAACCAAAACACGCTCTTTGACTAGACCTAGCTTTACTAATTCAACCTAAACACGCTCTTAGATTGCATTGAAAAACTGCATTAAGTTTTGTACAAGCTTCCCAACAATGTTCATTTCTTCTCATACGCTCGGAAGTGTGAAAACATGTGATATATGTTTTACAATAAGAAAACTTATTGCTTGTTACCAATTATTAACTCAATAGAACGATTAGGTGCCCTAAAAGTTAATTAACTGCACAAAAATTCAATTCATGAAAGTGGCCAATCAAACACAAATCAAATTTAAGGGTTCTAGTTTAAACAAAAACATAATCACTAGAATAGAATCACAAATCAAACATCAAATCATATGCTTCAAGTCAAGCAATCAACATGTTTTGAACAAGAACTAGAAACTAGGGTTTCTTAGCCACACATGGCTAAGAACAAATCAAACAAGAAAAATGATGGAATTGAAATGTTTAATGCTTACTAAAATGAAATCAAAAATGTTTGCAATGATTTTGTCTTCTCAAAAGCTCCAAGAAATCTCCCAAAATTGCCCTAGATCGCCAGAAACTGCTCCCAAAACCGTTCTCCCTTCAAATGACGTCTTCTCCTGTCTTTTATTAAAGTTCACGTGCATGCCATGAGGCCATGCGTTTTTGGCATGGCCATGCCTTTTGCCCATGTGTTTTTCGCATGACCATTTGTCTTGACCATGTGTTTTTGACATGACCCATGCTTTTTGCTAAAATTCCAAAAAGTCTTCACTGTTGACTCCATCTTCAATCTAGCTTCACCACGAGTCATGTTGCTCAAATATGAGATGATAAAGGACAAACACGACCCGTGTCAGTGTGACAAGAACCGCATTTCAAACGTAGTCCTTTGCTATGATGATAATGCGACAATGACTCGGGTTATGTCTTCATGCTTTCCTCCATGGAATGACCGGTTCATCTTCTCTGCATGCTCCAAAGCTCCAAGAATCCAAGCTCCATAATGCCTGCAAAATAAATCAAAAATAGTGAAGTACCAGACATTCTTAATGAAATATGCAATTGCCCTAATAATCAACTAAATGCAAGAATTATGAAGTAGAATGCTATAAAAAGACGGAAATAAACATGCAAAATAGGTGCATAAAATGCACCTATCATAGATATCTATTTATCATAAAAAACAGTCAAATTATTTGGGTGCACTCAAGTATGTATTTTTAATTTTTATTAGGTAAATAAATGAAATAAAGCTAATGTGAGGTTATTTTTGGAGACTGTGGATGCGTTTTTGAATGCACATTTAGATGAGAAGGTGAAAGTGATTGGTTTAAAAGAGAATCAAATATTGAAAAACATTGACGTGGCTGATCTCCTACAATTGAGATATTCATCAGCATGTTAAACATTTGATGCTCTATGGGTATGCTTTATAATTCTTTTGTTCTACTTTAGATATGATGATGCTGTCACTACTCACTAATTAATTTCGTTTTTATTAATATGTTTGAACTTCATCATTTGGTGGTTGCTGGGAACTTTCAAAATATGTGCATTGGAAGTTACCACTAATGTAATTTACATATCCATTATCGTAAATTTTTCTTGGGTTCTATTATCCATTTATTTTCCGGATCAGCAACTTATTTATTGGTTATACTCATGAAAACAGAAGATAGTATTAAATGACCTTAGATGATTTACATCTATTATTTATTTATATTTTCCCAATTTTACGAAGATGGCAAACCAAAACCGTACAAGATGCATGGAATGTTGCTAAAGAAGTAACGAAAAGTCTCAAAAAGTAAACGACGATGCGTCTGAAAAAGCAGAGGAAGCTACGGATGCTGCTAAAGGTAAATTGAACAAAAGACCAAACAATCTTACTTAATTATAACAAAATATTAAAAAGTAAAATGACAAAAATACCCTTGTGTGTGTGTGTGTTTTTTTTAATAGGTACCGAAGATTAATATTGTTGTTGGTGGAAGCTTTGGGGCTGGAAACTATGCAATGTCTAGGTATCTTACCTCTTCCAGCTTAACATGTTTTCAACTTTTTGTATTTTAGAAATACAAGTTTTTTTTTTATTTAATATTTGGTTCAAGATATTAATGACACTAACTATCGTGTGTCAATTAATTTTGTTTTTATTAAATGATACTTTAGGATCCGATGATAATTAGTTAGTCTGAGTTTTATATTCCGGGGTTTTTTTTTTCTGAGAATTATGTTTGATCTGTATATTGAAACTGTTGGATTGGGGTGAAGAGGACCATAGATCAGGAGCACAAATACAATCTTTGAGACTTGAGAGCGGCTTTTTTAGAAGAAGTGGGGGTGTGGCATAAACTTGATCATCCAAATGCGAGTAAGGTCTATAAACTTTCATATTTAACATAATCATGCAAATTTTAGGGAAGTTGATGTAATTTATAACTTATAACATCATAATCTGGTCATATTTTTATGCAGTTCGTAGGGGTAACAATGAGTTCAGAGCTGTAAGTAGAAACCGAAAATGGTCAAATTGGAATGGCAAGCAACATTTGTTGTGTTTTGGTGGAGTATCTCCTTGGGGCTACATGTCTTGCTTGCTTTCAATTGCTTTCATCAAAGTTTTGTGTTACAGATTATCCATCTACAACCATTGACGAGAGCAAAAAAGTGCAGTTTATTAACTCAAGTGACACTGGCCCAAAAGATGCATCTCCGGTTTTGTAGTAAATTTGTGAGAGCGACTCAAAATACAAACGTACAAAGAAGGGTTAATGTCATAAAAACCATCAAGTTTTCAGGGTTTTGTCGGTTTTGCCCAAAGTTGAAATTTATGTCCGTTTTTACCCAAATATTTTCGAAAAAATGTTCGGTTTTACCCTTTTACCGGTGATAACAGGTTTTCCAGGTAACCAGTATATTAAATTCGCAAAAAAACCCTTAAGTTTACCATTTTTTTGCGTTTTTACCCTTAAGTTTATAATTTTTTTTACACTTTTACCCTAAGTATATTTTTTTTATATTATATATATTCATATGATTTTTTTGCTTGAATATGTATAATATGAAAAAAAAAATACATAGGGTAAAAGTGTAAAAAAAAATTATAAACTTAAGGGTAAAAACGTAAAAAAACTGTAAACTTAAGGGTTTTTCGCGAAGTTAATATAGTGGTAACCTGTTATCACCGGTAAAAGGGTAAAACCGAACATTTTTTCGAAAATGTTAGGGTAAAAACGGACATAAAATTCAACTTTGGGCAAAACTGACAAAACCCTGAAAACTTGAGGGTTTTTATGACATTAGCCCTACAAAAAAAAACCGAAAAAAAGAAAAAAAAACTCACATCCGACCCCGCGTTGGTCACTCACCTAGTTAATTATTAAGTATTAACTCAAAAATAAATTAAGATATTTAATTTTTTTTTTTTAAGTGGGAATTGAAAACTGAATCTAATAAACAGCCGCCCGAGGAACAAGTCCAAAACATCCGCATGTCAATATCCTCAGATATCATCTCGATCGTCGCCAAACAATTACTCTTTCTTCAATTAATCCCACTATTTTGAATTTTCTCTGTTACCGTTCTAGATTCGCCTACACTCTTTGCAAGATCTGCTTATCGATTTCACTTACAGAGCGAGGTAGAGAGATCTATGGCAAGCGGAGGTGGGTATGGTGATGCTAGCCAGAAGATCGACTACGTCTTCAAAGTGGTGCTAATCGGAGACTCTGCGGTGGGTAAATCACAGATACTTGCTCGATTCGCTAGAAATGAGTTCAGTTTAGATTCCAAAGCTACTATCGGTGTCGAGTTCCAAACTCGAACCCTCGTTATTCAGCACAAGTCTGTTAAAGCTCAGATCTGGGACACCGCCGGTCAAGAACGGTAATAATTCTACTTCACGTCTCTTTACTGATTCATGATCTCGCTTGTGATTATTGCGATCGAATGGTTTGTCTTATGATCTGCATTTTGTGTGATCTTAGCTTTTGATTTTAGTACATTTATAGATAATGTGTGCTTTTGTTGATCTAGATCTTTCGTTCAATTTGCATGAGGTGAGCTTTTGTTAGCTATGAATGTGTTCCACTTTTTCATTTAAGAAGATAATTCCCATTTTATATGCATCAACAATCTGATTAATTCTACATAACTTGTATCTAGCTCCTAAAAGGAAAAAAAAATGATTGAACAAAGCGTTAAACTCCAAAGAAGAAATTTATCTTGTTGAAAAGGCATGATTTTGACATTGATGAAAACAGATTTTAGATCTTTTAACTTGATGACAATCACCTTCCATATGGAATCCATTTTGTTCATAACCGATTTTACTCATTTTACCTTTTTACCCATGTACAACAATTTCTCAAGGGTAAAATCGTCCATTTTTTTTTTGACAAAACCAGGTACAGAGCAGTAACAAGTGCATACTACCGTGGTGCAGTAGGGGCAATGTTGGTATACGACATAACAAAACGCCAAACATTTGATCACATTCCAAGGTGGCTAGAAGAGCTAAGAAACCATGCAGACAAAAACATTGTCATCATTTTAATTGGAAACAAAAGTGATTTAGAAGATCAAAGATCAGTCCCAACAGAGGACGCCAAAGAATTTGCTCAAAAAGAAGGATTGTTCTTTCTAGAAACATCTGCTCTTGAATCAACAAATGTAGAAGATGCATTCTTGACTGTTTTGACTGAAATTTTCAGAATTGTGAACAAGAAAAGTTTGGTTGCAGATGAAGAACAGAATGGGAATACTGGAAATTTGGCTGGAAAGAAGATTATTGTTCCGGGTCCTGCTCAAGTGATTCCAGAAAAGAAGATGATGTGTTGTAGTTCATAAATTTGTTGCTATTATGAATGAATGAATGAATATCTATGGAGATTATTTGTTGCTATGAAAGTATGAATAGTAATTTTTTTGTGGGTGGTGAATTGTGATGATATTTTTTGTGTCGATTCTTTTGTTGTTAACTTGTTGAAGGGAGAAGAACAACATGAATGATGATGCCATTTGTGTATGTTTGACTATATTAATGTTTTGCATGAGTCAAATGGTTAAATATTGTTATTATGTTGTTAACTTGTTATATTTATGGATTGTGGGTTTCTTCGATCCATATCCATATGGATATGGAGAACGGAAGTTTATAAATGAATTAAAACGTTTAAATTCAATTTTTAAATGGGGTGAAGCTAATAAATTTGATAGGTATAATCAATTTTCAGAAAATTAAAAGCGACAACCAAATCAGATCTAATCATGTCATTATTCCAAATGGAAAATAAACCAAAATTTGATAGGTATATCCAATCATGTGATTATTCCAAATCAAGGATTTTGTAACTAAATTGAATATTTTAAAATGGAAAATAAACCAAAATTGAGGGAACAAAAAATTAAAGATTAAACCAACAAAATTTGAGGACAATGGGTGCTTAAACCGTCTTTGGTGGTTTGTCAAGAGCTTTTCATCCATATAAAGTAGAACGTAAAACTCCTGATAGCTCAAAAAAAAAATTTCCATCTTGTGTAATCTTCTCACTTATCTACAAATGTTTCTGCTAAGTTATCAATATGCTCTTCATTAAATATTTACATATATTCTATCAAATTTGTGCTCAAACTATGACTAACTATTACAAACAAAAACAAATTCTAGATGGATCTTGAGGATGTAACACAAACTCAATGAATTATTACAAAATTGATCTCAATAGAGAAAAGTGATGATCATGCTTGATAACGATTGGATCATAATATTTCATTTTCCATGTTATTATTTTGTACATTCGATTCACTTAGTTCATCAATTTACATCATATCGTCATTTGTTAATCGGTTTTTTTAATTGGTCTTAGTGTATCCCATGTTTTATTATTGTCAATAAACTTTACATATTTTACTGGTGTTTATGGTACGTCAAAATGGAAGATGAAATGGAATGCATTGTTTCATTGTGGTTCAAAAAAATTATTTATTTATTATTGTGGAAGCAATTACACATTCTAGGAAACCTTATTTACTCAAATAGAGCAATGAGATGATAATTCTCAGATAGGCCGTCGTTGGGCAGATGCAGGGAGTGTGACCGCACAGTTCATTTAGGGACCCGATTTTTTTTTACGTATATCAGTATTAGCGACAAATTAGTGAAAAATTAGTGGCCGGTTGGTGGATTAGTGACAAATTAATGGCAAATTTTTGTTTTGATTAATTTTATAACAATTATCGATTTATCAATAATTTTGCTTATCTAAAAAATTTATATTTAAAAATTCATTTTTAATTTTCGCACATGACCTTCAAAACCAAAACCCACCATCGTAAAATCAAACATGTTTTTAAGTTGTTTATAAGATGTACTTTAATCCAATCGGACTTCTAATATTTGTATATAAAAACTGAAAATTTGAAGACCACGAAATATCGAAAGTGATTTCATTGCTTTGTTACCAACCCACCCAAATGACAAATAGATGATTGAACACCGACCCATTGTGTTTGAGATTTAAATAAAATAAGTCCAATCAATACCCACAAACCACAATAATAAGAAATGGCTATAAAAAGTGGACACACTTCATTCGCAATTGGTAATGAGTTTAATATTTTGAAAACATAATTAGGATGTTTATACACTTGTAAATATTTTAGGGTTAATCATTAAGATTAAGATTGGTAGAGTCTTCTAACAAAATGAATAATGTTTATTGTTTAATCAAATATTACAAATAAACCTTCTACTTTGCAATAGAAGCTTTACTGAATGCTTTTTTTTTTTTTTTTTGCCAAATCGTTTTATGAATGAGCTTACTAAAAAAAATGAAGAAAATAATTATACAAAAAGTAATTAATACAACAAACAAAAATTGTTAAAGTATATTTTACAAAACGAATAATCATTTGTAATAATACCCTCAGGAAAGGTCAACACTAAAGCATCATATAATCTATGGTGCTGTTTGATTTTCTGAAATAAAAATTCATGAAGTCTGCGGACCACCTCTGCAACCCTCTGCAGTAGAAGATGTGGACCAAACGACTGCAAACTGTAATAAGAAGTGTGTTTGTTTTTTTAACATCTGCATACTGCTGCAGATATTAAAAAATTAAAATAAACTAGTTTTATAAACCGAAAAAGGTTTTTTAATACGTAAAATTTAATAATGTATAACATTTCGGCAAGAATTAATGATATTTCAACAAAAAATAAAGATATTTTAGTAAAAAATAATTATATTTCATCAAGAAATTATCATTATTGAATATAAAAAAACGAAAAAAAAAATTTCAACAATAATAAACGAAAAAAATGTGAAATAAAATTTTAACAACATATAATCAAATTTTCAGTAAGAAAAAAAGAAGAAGAAGAGGTTGGAAGAGGCAGTACAAGTGCTGCGCCAAACAGAGCACATGCATAGGTTTTTGACTCCGAAGACTTCTAAAAAACAAACAGTTGCGAGATGAAAAGTGTTGCGCGTGTGCTGCGCCGCGCAGCAATAAGAGGTCTGAAGAGGTTTTTTTTTTCCAAAAAACAAACATCACCTATGTCTCATAGTCAAACGGGTCAATGTCACTGTAATCTTAGAAAAATCATGGATAAACCTCCTATAACACCCTGTTAGACCAAGAAAACGAGAACCTTAGAAGGATTCGTCAGGACCTCTCATTGCATTACCCCCTCATTTTTGGTCGAATCAACCAAAATACCATTTTGGTTGACAAGGTGCCCTAAGAACTGGACCTCTTGCAACCAAAACTCATACTTCGAGAATTTGACGTATATCATATCCCTCTTCAAAACCTCACGAATCTCTCTCATACATTCCCTATGTTGCTCATTTGTCTTTAAAAGACAAGAATATCATCAATGAACATGATCACCGATCAATCGAGCATAGGTCTGTATATATGGTTTATCATGTCCATGAACGCAGCCAGTGCATTGGTGAGCCCGAACGACATCACCACAAATTCATAATGATTGTACATAGTCTTAAAGGCTGTCTTCCGTAAGATCTCCTCTCTCACTCGCATCTAATGATAACCATACCATAAATCAATCTTGGAGAACCAAGATGCACCTGAAGCTGATCAAACAATTTGTTGATCCTTGGTAGTGGATAACGGTTCTTTACCGTGAGTTTATTAAGCTCCCTGTAGTCGATGCACATCCTGTGCAAACCATCATTCTTCTTGACGAACAAAATCGATGCTCCCCAAGGTGAATTGATCGATCGAATAAACTCATTGTTGAACAACTCATGTGTAACACCCCGTTTTCACTTTACTGTATATTTTAATATAAATGTTTGTTTATGAAATTCAAAGTGGAAATATATTACTTTTTATCCAAAGTAATCATCATGAAAATTGTAGTAGACGTTAATACGACCTGTGAGTATAAAGAACGACAAAATCTAACATCGTCTAAAGAAGTTATGAATTTCAGAAGATAATTTCACTATATACATATCAGATATTGTTTATATAAAATGAAATAGGAATATATTATGATTTAGATAGAGTAGTCTAAATAAAATTCATAGTACTCGAAATTACGAAACTGTAGATATAAAGAATTTTGAAAATGGAGCTCGTATGAGAAAGTTACAAATATCCAAAAAAGTAGAAAATAACAGAAACCTGAACGGAAGGCAGCTGGCAACACTTGGCTGCTAAGCCACCACGTGGCAACACCAGGCGTGCTTTTCCAGTTTTTATACCTATAAAAGGGAGGCCACCCATCCTTCATTTGTTGCCCCATTCTATTCCAACAAGAGTCTTTTTCTCTCACCCTCGAGCATTTCGGTCCCTCGTGATTTGACTTCTCATTCTGTAATATGGTTAGCAAAGCTTAGGAGATTTCGGAAGGATCTAGTAAAGTAGGTGTTGAAGTTCTGCCCGTGGATATTCAGACTTCATCAAATAAAGTTGTAACATCCCAAATTTCAAGGCCAAAAATTTCATTTTTGATATAACAATTTAGAAAACATTTTTAAGGAAACATAAGTGAGTCATATAATTTCATAAACCATAATATCATGTCTCAAAATCATATCATAGAAATAGTAACAATGTCAGAGTATAATCCCAAGAGATCTCATAGTGTGAAAATCGAGTGTGTGCGATGCGCTGCTACCGCGCCAACTCCTTCCCCTTCGCTGAAGAGGTACCTGAAACAAAACTGAAATCTGTAAGCACGAAGCATAGTGAGTTCCCCCATCATACCACATACTATACAATCACATAGCATACATACTGCCGGGAAATTCTGGGGTGCCCGACCTACCTGGTCCGACCATTATGGGGTGCCGACCTACCCGTGTCAAGCCATTCTGGGGTGCTGACCTATCCGTCGGTCCTAACAACCAAACTCCGGGGACCATTTTACCCCTACTACTACTACCACACATATCATAACATAACCATATTGTCAGACATATCTGGGGTGCCCGACCTACCCTTCGGTCCTAAAAACCGAACTTGGGGACTATTCCCCTCCTACTACCACTATCACATATAACATATCATGCTATCACATAAACATTTCAGGTAGTAGCAAACCTAGATGAATATCATAAAGACAATCATCTAACATACAACTCCTACTAGTGGGCCGACATTGTGGCCGTAGACCCACTGCTACTGGAAGGTAACTCACTTCGCCAAGCTGAGTGTCGAATCTCACGAGAAGTAATCTCTAACAGTTGCTCCGATGACTCCCGGCTATCAAAAACATAATAATACCCAGTCAACATCTATATCACCACTTGGGGTAAAATGACCATTTACCCCTTGGTCCGATTGGAATATTCATAAGTCCCAATTCTAGCTTATTAAGCCCAGCCCTCCTATGGCCCATCAAGGACTCCCTAAGGGCCCACTAATTGCCTAATTTCTGAATTGGGCCTTAACCCCCAAATGGGCCCAAAAAGTTCTGAGTCCTCCTATAATAATTCTAAAGGCCCAATACTCTAATTCCAGATTCCCAAGTCCAAACTT